TTTTTTTCCCCTCCCAGGGCTGGCTGTGACCCACCAAGCTGATTTCATGATCCACTAATGTGTTAAGACCTGAAGTCTGAACAACACTGGCTTAAGAACGCTCTGACCCAGGCCCTGGCAGCCTTTCAGCCCCATCCCTCCCCACCCATTGTCGGCAGCCGGAGTTCTGGTCATGCTGAACCCCCTGCACCTCACTCCTTCTTGCCACCGGGCCTTTGCACATGCTGTTTCCTGTGCCTTTTGCACTCTCCACTTGTCCATTTGGCTTAGCCAAAGGATACCTCCCCATCCACTGACCATTGCCTCACCATCACCTATGATCCACCTTCGAACTCTCTTTGCACATTAGAACCACTTTGGGAGGTTTATTTTGTTTTTCAAACCAATGCCCAGTCCCCACTTCAGATCAACTGAATCAGGTACTTTTGGGGGAAGGGAGGGGCCTGAGCATCTGCATTTACAAAAAAAAAAAAAAATCCCCCAGCCAGTAGGAGACCTAGAGCCTGTAGATCCAGTGTGCCCTCCGGTTTTATTTTCTCTGAATTTCTTTTCTTTTCTTTTTTTATATATATTTAAGACATTCTTTTGTATATATTTAAGACACTTAAGACAATCTAATGTAGCTTATGCATTTATTTGTTTGCTTGTCTGGGGTTAAATTAGCCAAGGGACAGGAGTCTTCGATTTTTTTGCATCCTTCCTCTTCCCCCAGGGCTGAGAAGGTGCCTAGGCTGGTGGGTTCCTGTGAAGCCAGATCTCCACGAAACATAACAGAGATGAGAAGTTAGCCTTCCGAGGGCACCCCTTTAGGATGCCGTTTTCTTTCCAGCTGCTGCCAAAATGCTCACTTGTTTAAACTTCCAACATACGCTTAAAATCCAGCAGGCTGGATGGCAGAAGGGTGATCAGGGAAGGCCCTAGCACAGGCGTTGCCAAGTGTTTTCTGTAAAAGGGCCACAAAATATTTCTATAAATATTTCAGCCTTGGCGGGTGTCACCGTCTCTCTCGCAACTGCTCCGCTCTGTGGCTGTGGTTTGAAAGCAGCTTCATGTAAATGAACGGGCATAGCCACGTGTCAATAAAACTTTATTTACAAAAACAGGCAGTGGGCCGGATTTGATCCAGGAGATGTAGTTTGTCCAGTGTTCTGTCGCTCAACCTCTTGGTGCCTCAGTTCCCTCACTCATCAATGGGAATCATAAAGATACGTAGTTCACACGATGGTAGGAAGGATTAAATAAATTAATTCACATAAAGCACTCTAGACAGTACCTGGCACTTGGTAAACATATCAGTAAAAATTAGCTACTTTTATTATTACTAACTGGAAACAGACAGTCCTGAGATCAAATCCCAGCTGTTTCTCCTACCAGGTGTGTCTTTTGACAATGAGGTGTCTCTCCCAGCCTCCATTTCATCAGCTGTAAAACGGGATCATGATAATGGTACCCACCTCCAAGGTCGTTGAGGGATGAGATGACCACATACATGGCAAATGCTTTGCTGGAGAGCATAGCAAGTGCTCCACTGCCAAAGTCAGTATTACTTTTTCCCCAGAATGACACTGATGGAAAAACAGATCAAAACAAAACCTGGGTGGGGCGCCTGGGTGGCTCAGTCGGTTAAGCGGCCGACTTCAGCTCAGGTCATGATCTCACGGTTTGTGGGTTCGAGCCCCATGTCGGGCTCTGTGCTGACAGCTCAGGGCCTAGAGTCTGTCTTCAGAGTCTGTATCTCCCTCTCTCTCTGGCCCTCCCCTGCTCATGCTGTCTCTCTCTCTCAAAAATTAAGTAACACATTTTTAAAAAATTAAAAAAAAAATCCAAAACCTGGGTGTATGGCAGCCCCAGCCCTGAGCTCAGGACGCCTCTCCTCTCCTGAATCTGCCAGGTGGGACCAGAGGGGCCCTATTCAAAGTTGTCTCCTTGCAACCCCTTCCACACAACCCCTTGCTGAGATTCGAGAAGGCAAAGAAGAACACCGGTCCAGCACTTTCCAACATCCCTCGCACCGCCCCCTGCACACGGAGCTCCTGTTGATGTTGATGGGGCATCAACAGAGACTTCAGAGGACAAGATGTCCCCGATGTCAGCTGGGCACCAGGTTCAGGAAATGGACAGTGGGGGAGGGGAGACGGTATGAGAGAACCTTTATTCTTGGACACTTTGATATGCTGTTGAAGGACATGTGAGTGTGTGTGCGCACATGTGCATGCGTCTCTGTGTACGTGTGTGCATGCGTGGGTGTACATGTGCGTGTGCATGCACGTGTGTCTCTGTGTGCATACATGGGCATTGTGCATGCGTGTGCGTGCGTGCACGTGTGTCTCTGTGTGCGTGTGTGCATGCATGGGCGTGCGTGTGCACGCATGCGTGCACGTGTGTCTCTGTGTACGTGTGTGCATGCATGTGCACGTGTGTCTCTGTGTGTGTATACGTGGGTGCACATGTGCATGTGTGCGTCCGTGTGCAGGCATTTGCATGCATCTGTGTACGTGTGTGCATGCATGTGCGTGCGTGTGCATGTATGTGTTGGGAGACAACCATCAGAGAGCTGCAAGAGGAAGGAGAGAACGCCGAGGGCGGTGGGGAAAGGAGTAAGTTCTGCAGAGGCAGGGCACTCACTACGGTCAGCTAAAATGGGCCACTGTGTCGTGTCCCCAGTGGACACTGGGCAATGCTGGAGACATTTTTAGTTGCCAAAACTGGGGGAGTGTGGCATCCACGATGCACAGGCTAGCTCCACACAGCCCAAAATTACCTAGCCTAACACTCGATAGTGCTGAGGTTCAGAAACTCCGAGCTCAGGGGAAGGGCTTCTTCGTACATAGTGAAAGATGTGATGTAATTAGAAAGACCGTGACTCGGTCAGATCTGTTTCTGACCTATGCACTTATCCATTAGGCATTTATTTCCTGAACACCTGTTAGGTACTGGATGGCGAGGGATAAATGAAGGTCCCTCCCGGAACGTTCTCTCGTATCTCCACAGTGCTGCTGCCCTGACATCAAACATCAGTGGAAAATCATACACAGTCACGCCTTTCCCATAATTACAGAAAACACACACTCAGATACATCAGAAATCATGAAGTTTCACTGCAACCTGGCATGTTCCGTCTCCCCGCCCAGTCACCGCCATCGTGACCACCACCATCTCGGGAAGTCTTTGCTCCGCAAGGTAACATTCACAGGCTCTAACGATTAGGACCTGGTATTTTTTAGGGCCATATTCAGTCTACCACCTTTGGAACTGACTAATTCCGATAGCAAAGTTCCAACAAGTTTGTGCTATCATCTTTCCAGTTGATAGACGACTAGAAACAGTGGAGAAGACAGCAGGTGTTCAGAACATTCCAGTGTCCTCACCGTACAGCCATCCTGGTCCATAAACACTGTAGCACTGATGCGCGCTTTGTCCCTTCCAGGCCAGGTTGAGACTGCTTTATTTCAATCAAGTAATTCTTTTTTGAAAAATTTTTTAAAATGTTTTATTTCTAGGAGAGAGAGAGAGACAGCGTGAGCAGGGGAGGGTCAGAGAGAGAGGGAGTCACAGACTGAAACAGGCTCCAGGCTCTGAGCCGGCAGTCAGCACAGAGCCCGACGCGGGGCTCAAACCCACGAACCGCGAGATCATGACCTAAGCGAAAGTCGGACGCTTAACCGACTAAGCCACACAGGCGCCCCTAAAAAATTTTTTAATGTTTATTTATTTTTAAGAGACCGCGCGAGCAGGGGAGAGGCAGAGAGAGAGGGCGACACAGAATCCGAAGCAGGCTCCAGGCTCTGAGCTGTCAGCACAGAGCCCGACGCAGGGCTCGAACTCAAGAACTGTGAGACCAAGACCTGAGCTGAAGTCAGCCACCCAACTGACTGAGCCACCCAGGTGCCCCTGCAAAGTCTCTATCGCTTGATCATTCTCTCTCTTTGCTCATCTTCCTGCTGCTCGGACTCACCTCTGAGGCATAGAGGGCAGAGAGCTACACAGGGGAGGGAGCCTGAGTTGTTGGTGGGGCACATCGGGACAATGGTCTACCAGGAGCACTGCTTCCCTGAGTGAGAAGCCAGATGTGGACCTAGGATGACAGGGTTTGCTTGTCACAGCAGCTAGCATTCCATGAACCGACACTGACTATGCACGTCATTGAATCTCTTGTGGCCACTGGAAACAATAAGTAACAAAACAGTAAGTATCCCAGGTGTCCTGGAGCCAATTCTGCGAATGTCATCTAAAGGGAGAAAAAAAGATGCTAAGCTTGTGTAATACATTATTTTTTTTTTAAATCAGTGATTCTTCTTCCTTATGCTAAGCCCCCCAACCTTTCCCAAAACACCCTAAACTAACCCCAAAACCAGTTCAAACCAAACTAAAATCCATCTGTTTAGAAACACATGAGTATGGAGAAAAACGTGGAAGACTACAAGGTCAAGGGCTGGCAACCTGCAGCCCAAAGTTCCACCCCCTGATTTGTAAATAAAGTTTTATTGAGACACAGTCGTGTCCCTTGGTTTACATACTGTCTATGGCTGTTTTCAGACCCCAGAGTTGAGTAGGTGCAATGGAGGCTGAAGAGTCTGTGAAGCTATGAGTATTTACTGTCTGTCTCTTTATAGAAAAAGTGAGCTGATCCTTGCACTGGGTGGCCCACACGGAAAGAGTAAGGGTTATGCTATATCCACGAATGAACCACCTTCCGAAGGGAGGCAGAGAAGACCTGTACGTGCTGGCACAGAAAGATGTCCACAGTTTAAAAGTGGAAAACAGTAAGTTGTGGTGCAGAGTCTGATCCCATTTTGTGAAAACTATGTGAACTTGCAGGATGGCTTTTGTATACACTAAAACACATTTGCAAGACCACACATCCAACAGTGATGGCGGCCATGTTGGAAGAGGGAACCTGGGAGTGTCCACACTTTATTTTCTATAGCTCAGCGTCATCTTCATGTGCCAGGATAAGCATGTGGATTACTTTTGTAATTAAAAGTAAACCCAACAGGGGCGCCTGGGTGGCTCAGTTGGTTGAGCATCTGACTCTGGCTCAGGTGATGATCTCACTCACGGGTTCAAGCCCCGCATCAGGCTCGGTGCTGGCAACTCAGAGCCTGGAGCCTGTTTCGGATTCTGTGTCTCACTCTCTCTCTGCCCCTCCCCTGCTCACGCTCTGTCTCTCTCTCTCTCAAGATAAATGTTTAAAAAATTTTTTGAATAAAATAAAATAAGATAAAACCAATAAGGAAAAAAAAGTGGCAAGAAATTTGAATCCAAAAGAGCATAAAGGTTGCTGGTGTGCAATTCTTGCACCTCTTCAGTGTCTCTGAATGCCAGGCAGGGGGGGTCTGGCCAGCAGATAGTAGGTGCTCATTAAATGCATGATGACTGCATGAACAAGCGTTGAAGAAAATGAAGAGTGCAACAAAGAACGACAAGAAGAGAAAATAAAAGGCAAAGCCCACCTCCCCCTGCCCCTTCCGCGAACACCAGAATGCCAACCCCGGCTGAGAAAATGCCCACAGGACATGCCGACAGCCCAGCCTGACCTTTAGAACAACCGAAGGTACTGTTCTTGCTCCTTCCTCACCCCCAGATCCAGGCAAACAAACAAACAAAAGAACTCAGAATAAGTCCTTGGCCAAAGATGCTCAGCCCACAGCCCACAGACCGGCTTCCCCCTGGCACGGCGTGGGCCTTGTCCTAAGAACCGAGTGTCGTCAGGGCCTGTTGCGCGGTCCGATGGCTGAGGTCGACTCACAGCTCTGCTCAGGGCTGAGAATGAGACCACAAGGAGAATGAGGTGGCATCTGGGGAACGACACAAAGAAACACAAGAGTGTCTTTGGTCGCTCACCAGCGCGGGGGATGGGCACCTGCTTATCTCACCGCTGCTGCGTTAAACACAGGTCACTAATCCGCGTGGCATTTCGGGAGAGGCAGCGTACAAATCATATGAACACGTTCCCTCAAAGGGAGCTGGCTGCCCAGGGCCTGTTTGCTATACAAACTTTTAGTCTATAAACCACAAGACAAAATAAGTTGGGATTCAGAGGGAAGCACAGCTGTGTGGGGCGCTCCTTTGCTGTAAGCACCTGAATTTATGGATTTTATTTTTCTGAGTTGTTCTCCTTCCTCCCTTCCCCCCTCCCCCTTGCTCCTTTTCTCTCCTTCTACAGTATTTATTGAACTTTTACTACATGCCAAGCGTTGTTTGGGGGTTAGGGCAGTAAACAACACAAAATCCCAGCCGTCCTGGAGTTGACATTCTATTTGGGGAGACAGACAATGGGAGGGGGCATACACATATTCTAGAGAAGATGACCAGGGATGGCTTCCTGGAGGAGGCGACATTTGAGCAGACATCTGATGTGGATTAGTAAGAGATGTGAAGAGGAGAAAGGGAAGAGCAACCAAGCAGAGAGTATGTGCAAAGGCCCTGAGGTGGAAATGAACCAGGTATGTCCAAGGAATGGAAAGGATAATAGAGCAGCTGGAGTGTGGTGAGGGCAAAAGGGACAGAGAACACATTTCAAGGATTTTTACACACACTATCTATGACAATATCATATTTTTTAGGGTCAGGTATCAGAGCAGGACTGACACAGTGTGGTGGCTACGGATACAGCTTCTGGGCCCCACCTGCCGGCTGAGTTATCTTAAGGGGGGTTATTGAGCCCTAGGACCTCAGGTTAACAGTAAACCTGCCTTAGAGGGTCGTCAGAAGGTTAAATGAATTAAAACCCATAAAGCACCAAATAGAGGCCCATTACACTAAGCACTGGACAAACACTAAGCTGTTACTGTTTGATTATAATTTAGATTTTATAACTAAAAACATTATAATGTTTAATTTAAAACATACCTCAACTATCTCTTTTGATTTTTCCAAGTTTTAATATTAGAAACAATGCTATCAAAACATTAAAATAAAAACAACAGAGTTCCAGGCCTGGAGCCTGCTTTGGATTCTGTGTCTCCCCCTCTCTCTCTGCCCCTCCCCCACTCACACTTTATGTGTGTCTCTCTCTCAAAAATAAATATAAAAAAAATCCCAAACAACACAGAGTTCTAGGACTTCAAACATTGGGTTTCTCAGGGTGGGTCCTTGAACGTGGAATTATAGGAGTTGTGCAAAACTGAAATAGAATGAACTGGAAATATTGATGAAGTCCCACTTTCTGTACAGTGACTCAGAGTGACTCCTTTATCTTCATTTCCCCAGGGACAGGTCAGAAGTTCTGCATCTTCAAATAACCGGGAAGGCACCATCTTGCATGCAAGTCTTACGATGCCCGGCTCCCCCCGTGGCGGGGCTGACGGATTGACGTGGGCACCACCTGCCCCGTGGGGTCCGCGGCGGCTGGACCCACGGGGCTCAGCCCCGTTCTGTGGGCTCGCCGTCTTTAGGAACAGGACCTCTGGGTGGGAGCAGCCTCCGGTGGGAACGGGGCTTCACTCCTCTTTGCGAATAACTGCTCTGTGTGCCACCCTCATCTTCAAACAAGCATGCCTCGATGGCTGTTTCTGTCACCCAGTGCTTGCACGGTGCCAGGCGCTGCGTTAAGCGCTCTGCACCGAGGGTGGAGAAGAGCTCTGGAATCAGACGGCTGCGTGCACACCCCAACCCCAGCACTCAGCTTGCAGGAGCCACTCAGCCTCTGTGTCACACTTTCCTCACGTGTCATGTGAGCACGTACTGCATAGGGTGGTCATGAGGATTCGGTAAGTTACTACACGTAAATCTTGTAAGCACCACGTGTGGCTCTCGGTGACCCATTGGTAAATGGCAAATATGACTATGATCTCGTTTAAACGTCCTGGCAATTCCATGGGGTGGTTGCTATTCTTAGCTTCCACGGCGCAGATGCAGAACCTAGGCAAGCAGAAGTGGAGACCCCTGTCCAAAGCCACGTGGTCAGTAAGAGGGACAGCTAGGGGCTGCAACCGAAGCCATGTTCTTCACTCTGAACTTCTGTGTGGTGCACAAACAGGTGAACCCAAGTCTTAAAACGGGTATCAACTTGACACTTGAAAGTATCGACTGTTTAAGCCAATCGTAAGTGATCCATTCATTCAATAAATATTTGTTGACAAGCTACTATGTACCTCAGAGGATGTGGGGATGGACCCACCATCTAGCTCCATGTGCTGTCTAAAGATCGAGCCAAAAAAGTGGAGAAGAAAACCAAATTGAGAGCCAGAAAGCAACTGGTATCCTGATTGTGTCACCTAAGCCTTGATCCAGCTATACCTGAACTCAGCCCTAGCCCTGGACTCTCAGTTCCTTAAGCCCATACATTCCCTTTACTTGCTAACCCAGTACGAAGCAGGTTTTCTGTCACCTGTCACTGAAAGTTCAAATTGTGATGTTTGCCCTTGCTTATTCCCATACTTAGCAGGACAGTTTATTTTTGTTTTTAAGGGTTTTTTAAAAAAAATGTTTATTTGACAGAGAGAGAGAGAGACAGAGAGAGAAAGTAAGGGAGGGACAGAGAGAGAGGGACACACAGAATCGGAAGCAGGCTCCAGGCTCTGAGCTGTCAGCACAGAGCCTGACATGGGGCTCGAACCCACAAACCGTGAGATTATGGCCTGAGCCCGACACGGGTCTCGAACCTGTGAACTGCGAGATCATGATCTGAGCCAAAGTCGGACGCTTAACCGACTGAGCCACCCAGGTGCCCCCTTATCAGGACAGTTTCAAAAGCATTAAACCCTCCCTACTCTTCGATGTCACCCCTTCACTTCAGATTTTCCCATAAAAGAAGCCGGTCATGTATGTTTTTGGTATCACCGTATGAAGCACACTTCCAGTCAAAGCCCTGAACTCTTCAAAACAGAGTCTCAAGTGCCAAATTCAACTTAAAACCTTATCTTCGGGAGAACCAGCATGGTGGTTATGAGTGCAATTCACCAGGTATTTCAGGTTCACCTTTTGGGTCCACAGCAGGACTCCACTTTTTCAGCCTGTTCAATGTTCCTGCCACGCAAGTGGCTTTGGCCAAAGAAGTGTTCATGGAAATGACAGGTGACCCTTCTGGACAGATTCCTGGAGACCCCGTGGGTGACATTCTGTAGCTTCAGAGTCCCCAGGGGGCTCAGAAAGGACATGGACCAGGAGCAATAAATAAACGTCTGTTGATGTAAGTTACTCAGATTCGGGGTTATTTGCTACCACAGCAGAGTCGAGCCTCTCCTGACGGTGTTAATGGAAAACCCGAGAGTGTACGGCCTGTAGAAACTGTTATCTCCCGACACTTTTACTTACGTGTGCTTTGTGTGGTGGCGACAGTGCAGTGTGCCTTCCGTGTGCGTGCGCTTCTTTCCTTTCTTATTACAAGGTTGTCATAAATATGTTTCTGAGGATCACGGTCAAAAAGTGTTTGAAGGAAGTGGAAAAAGCTTAGGGTCCAGAAAAGAACATCTAATATACGTGGCTGAGGTGGGATGCCTGGGTGGCTCAGTCGGTTAAGCCTCTGACTCTTGATCTCAGCTCGGGTCTTGATCTCAGGGTGGTGAATTCAAGCCCTGTGTTGGGCTCCATGTTGGGTGGGATGCCCACTTTAAAAAAAAAAAAGTATTTGGAGGCTGAGACAAGAGATTGGGAGAAAAGGCCTAAGAGGAAGAGTCTGGAGGGGCTAGTCTGAACACTCTTCATGTATGTGAGAAAAAAGGGTGTTTTCCAGCCAGTCTCCAACTCTCTAGGGCAAGGGTCAGCAAACATTGTCTGTGAAGGGCCAGACAGTAAATATTTTAGGCTTTGAGGGCCAAGGGGTCTCTGTCACAACTACTCAACTCAGCCAATGTAGGGGAAACAGCCACAGACTATACAGAAGCGAGTGGGTCTGGCTGTGTTCTAATAAAACTTTATTGACAAAGATAGATCAGATTTGACCCGGGGGCCACAGTTCACTGACCCCTGCTCTAGGGGCTCCAACAATGAGGTAGAATCAGGCTGAAATGTAAGAATGACTTACAGTTCAGATCCACGGAAGAACCGAAGATAAGTTCCTACTTGTTCTTCTGATCATCTACACTCAGGTCAGTAAGCCATGGCCAGGGGCCAAATTCCAGCTGCTATCTGTTTTCATA